CGAGTACAGGCCTGGCAAGAAGCCTCACAAATAAAAAGATAATTCTTAATTCAAACAATCCATCCCCTTTTGATTTGTCAATGTTTAAACAATGAAATGGACTTTCGATTGAATGTTTGATTCCTGTTCGTTATCTCCATATAACATAAATTATAAGCTATTGTAATTCTAGTTTTTCTGGTGATATATTGCAAAATCTGTTAGGGGACAGGTTATCTCTGAAGTGATATGTTGATATTTCAAAAATATAAAACGTAATTTGAGATCTCGAATTATACACTCGACAATCTTTCCCAAAGATTGCCAAATGATTCGTTCTCTCGAATTGTAATTCAAAATTTTGAATGGATTACCTATTATTGTAATGATAATCACTCCAGCGTTTTCATTTCTTACGGTTTGTAAAATATATTCCCTTGTGTCAACCAATGTGTTCTCTTTTGTTTAATATAAGTTTTAGTTCAATGTGTACGTACATCATTTCAAGCTCAAGATTATAATTCCATTTTTGTGTCGTCTGCGGAGCAGAGAGGCACTAAGCTAAGGGATTACTTTACTTTAAAAACATTTAAGGGGTAATTTTAGCATGTGAACTGATTGCCATAAAACATTATCAGCGTTACAATTCACTTGACCTTGACCTACTTTACAAAAATACCCCGGACAATTTGATTTAACTAAAGACTTTAGAATTTTTAGTGGCGGGTGTTGATAAATTAACATTATATAAATATTACATGTAGTAAATTAACATTATATAAATATTACATGTACTTGAGTGTAACATTGAAAATTTGAAAATTTTCACCCCAAGAAAAACCATTGTCAACCGAGGACAATGGTTTTCGAGGGGTAAAAATTTTCAATGTTACACTCAACTACATGCAATATTTATTATATTATACTGAATGTTTTATACAAATACATATAACAGTGAACCGTATAAATTCTGCGCAGTCGCTATTTTTTTTAATATCACCCGTCGTCAAGCACTGTTGACTGTTGCTACGCTGGAGGACGTGGCTTCATTATTCAGCGGTTAATAGTGTTTTTTTAACAAATGTTTCTCGACCAATCAGATTCAACTAATTTACATGAAAGTATAATATTTATAAATGTTTATGAGCTCATAATACTGTTCTTTGAAATTGTATGATATTCAGTAACCACACAAACTGATATTTAAATATTATGAAAATACATCTGGATCGGGATCCCACAACGGATCGTGTAGAGTGACAATTGCTGTAAAGACTTTGAAACACGTATTAACACATATAAAATGATTTCTTAATTATTCATTTAAGGTAGGATTCTTCTCTGGTTTCTGACTAGATGAAATACTAGTATTCAAAGTGCATTTGCTTATATGTCTTATATATTTAGGTGTAAGAGATTTAAAAGACCATATTTTTCTTTCTTCATCACAATTGTACAAATTTGAATAGAAATCGAACACCTCGTTTGAAAACTAGCAGGAACTATATTTTTGGCGGATTGGTGGCGTATGAAAATATCTTCTTTTCTGCCTCTCAAAATTATTATAAAACAATGGATTTAGTTATAATTTTTACACAATCAAAGACCTGAAGAACTTTTCAAATGTAAGTTTAATTAATAATAAGGGACTAAAGTTCTTAAATATATCAAATAAATATGATTTTTCAACCAAACAAGAATACAAGATCTATGTTAGCTTTTATAACCTTCTAATCTGAGTACAGATTTGAACCAAAAATCCGTAAAAAGTATTTTTTTCTCTCTTAGTAAACGATGAAAACTTTTTGTTTTTGCATCATTTTGTATCTTTATGTGACAACTTTATCATATGTGAAAATTAGAAAAATTGAAATATAAGAAGCATATAAAAATAACTAATATATCCTAAATATTTAAGAAAATTAGAGAAAATTCGGATTAGCCCATATCCATTTTAATTAAATTATTTATGGCAATTTGTTAATATCATCTAATAGGTCCTTTGTGGTATTATCTTTTTATGCAAAAAGAAAAACATTCAATCTTTTGAAAGACAAGTAGGGATCGCATAATTTGCAACAAAAATTTTCCATTGTTCATTGTCCAGGAAAAAGGTAATGACCTTGAACTGACCTTGTCTCTAATATAAAACGGTCAAATTTAATTTTACTGATACCATCACTTATTGATATTATCTTGATTCTGTAAAAATTTCATAAAGAACGAGGGCGCTTTTGATTGGCATTCGGCAGGAACCTGGGCGTAATTGAAAAGTGAAAATTTTATTGACATGTCACATGAAATTTTAACATTTTTTTAATTTATCGGGTTCCTGTGCAACAGGAACGGAAAAGAATTTCCCGAAATTGAGCTTTGATTTGCTAAAAAAATAACTTGAAAGTTGGCCATATCAGACATTTGGTACAAAATTGTACATTTTGAAACACATTTTTCTAAAAATTTTCTATTTCTGGGTCTTCTCTCCATGATTTTGAAACGTTAGTTGTGTGTATTTTAATTCAAAGAAACGATTACACTTTTTTAAAAAATGGAGAGAAGACCCAGAGACCACGAAAAATGAACTTTTTCCCAAAAAATCCAAATGTGTCAATTTGGTGCGTCTTTGTCCTTTTAAAGACATTTATATATGTGTAGCGGTGATAGCTCAGAAAGGTAGGCTACCTGTTCAGTGCACTCGAAGCGAAAAGTTTTTGGTTCGAGCCTGGCATGGGGCGTTAATTTTTTTTTTTTTATTCAGGCAAGCAACCATTTATTTTGTGAGTTTCGTTTTATGTATACGTACTGATGTATTAAAATTTTGAATTAGATAAATTTTGGTTCAGTTTGGTTCTCAAGCGAAATCAATTCTATTTCTATTTTATAATGCACATGTACACGTATCATGCATCTATGCATTAAATATATTTTAGGTTTTATTTTTTGTGAAATATTACTATGTTATAGTACCCCCTAGAAAAAAATGGACATAAATGTTACAATTTCAGAATGTCTTTCAAACTAAATGAAAAAAAAAAACCATGGACGTGTTTGTAAAATCTGACCAGGTATGTTCAGCCAACCAAATCATGGACATTTAAACCATAAATGTTTCGTACAAATGATTCCTGCAGATCACCCGCCAAATGCGCCCATCTTCTTTTCAAATACAAGAAATATGAGAAGAATCCTACATTAAGGGTTTGGGATCATTTTCTTTGATTGACAAACTCAAACGCAGTCTTATACTATGTACATCCGTGGATGTTTTTTGTGCATTTATGAACGATTATCAATGCTAGATTTTCTATTTTGTATGAAATACTTATATGCTTGTAGCATATTAATAACTGCCTGACCAGTCTTAGGTTTACATCTTTAAGAAGCTTAAAGATATGTATACCGTGTTAAACAGTATTTTTGCACAGCTGAAATCAAACAAAAATTTCTGAAGTATGATAAGCTATCAAAAATGAAGCATTCTGGCAAATTGGACGAAATATTATTCGGTATTAACAAAGTACTGGTCAAGAAAAGAACACGATATTCTCATGCATATTTATAAGGGACTGATGTATATGCTGGATCTGCGCATGTGCGCGGAAAAGCATCGCGAGAATCATCAGATCGAGGAAACTTTTTTTGTGACGTCTGTTCAGTGAGGAACCAACATGACTGACAAATCGTCCAATCAGCTCAATGAGTTGCATTTAATGCATTTATGGGTTACTACATAAAATACATGTACTACATGTGTTATTCTAAAAGACTAGTTTTTTAAATCGCTCTTGTATTGACGTGATGCATTTTCACAAGCATTTACACGCTTAATGCATTATGTACATTATTATCTACTAATCCCATGCTCACATTTGCATACAAATGATTAACAATGATAAAAATTAGAGTTTTCCCCAATCCATTGTACAGGTCCGTTTGTTTACAGTTTCCCCGTGCTATGCTGTACTGTCAGTGAAAAGACAATTTCACGTGACTATATATTTCTCGGTACAAAAAGCAACCAACTCTGAGGTGTGCTCACGTATTGACAATGTTTACAATGTGTACAACTTCGAAGCATACAGTATGCTACTCAATACACGTTCTACGATCAATGCACATGAGAATTAATATAGAGGTAATTTAAAAAAAACGTGAAACTTGAGTCTTTTTTTTTTTTATAAATGCATAAACTTTCAATTTCTACATGTAGTAATAACTTAGCAACAACTAATTCAACCAGTTACATGACAATTTTATGAATATCGAGTTTAAAAACTGGAGTTTTATTTACTTGTGGAGACTTTGTGAGCGGTATTTCAAAGTACTTTTCAACAAAAAAAACTGAATTTGTTTGTTAATGTGAGCTTTTTAACAAGAAAAACTTTTGTTTGTTAATGTGAGTATGGGAATTCAATTAGTACCTTTTCTTCCTGTTTTTCTCAAACACAAAAAATTGTAAATTGACTCTCCAGCCGTCATTTGAAATCGCATCCTAAATTTCCCTAACCCACGTGTTTGTAGTAAAAACGTAGTAGACCATCGTGCTTTTCGGCTCATTCACGAGATTGAACCATTGTTTGCTGTGAGCATGTGAGACCACATGATCATGAATATTTCAATAAGAGGCGGTTTAATATCCGACTCGAAGAGAAAATAATTTTTACAAAATAATATTTCATAACTTTTAAAAGTGATGGAGTAGAATTGTCTTATTTGCAGAAAGTATATAACTTTTATAACTTGATGAGACACCACATATATTTATTTCTTTAAAAATAAAACACTAATACGGCATATATATCTTTAAAGCAGGCTACACGTGCGTTCCTTGGAACACTCTAGTTAAGTAGTTATATTATTAGGAAAATTTACACTTTGTGATGTATATTTATGTCAATTGAGATATTGACATAGATAGAACAAAAGATATTTAAAAAATCAATTTCAAGTTTTCGCAAGATGCATGTTATGTCAAGACAAAACTAAATACATAAATAAAATAATAACAGAAAAACACTTTATCATATATGTTAAGATTTCTTTATTTAGACCTAAATAACTTGTTGCATACAAAGAAAATGACACAACCTTTTCCTCGAATATAGCTGCACTGTATAGCTACATGTATATTCACGCAATAAGTCGTTTGTGATTTTGTGGTTTCTTCATATAATGAATGGAATTAAAGCTTTTCTTTCTTGGGGATAATCTTCAAATTTCTGTTTATACCACCTATTCAAAGAAAGAATATACATAGAAAATAAATATAACACACAGTAAACATTCAAAAAGTCTTTTAAAAACAAGATTTGATCAGATTACCAAAATTAAAACACGAAGGAATAGGTGTCACGAGTTTTTGTAACGCTTGGCCAAGATTAAGATGCAATAAATACTTAATATTATTCGAAATTTTAAAAGTAAATGTATATTAAAGTGTTTTAAAACATGCAAATTGATTATTGCTTTAGATTACTTATTTAAGGCTAACTTTCACAATGATAAAGTATCTATTTCTGCATCGGATGGAAAGTATGAAAACCTTAATGAATACATATGACAACTAAGCTGTGTGTGCCACTACATGTGTATTTGGAAAAACTTAGCAGAACAGAGATCCTAATACTTTTGTCCATTCAATCAAGGCTTATAGGAATACATGGATCTATCCATACTTTCTTCTGATTTATTTTTACATGTTTAAGCTGAGTAAGGCACCATTTTTACTATATAAAGAAACAAAATCAACTCACTGGTGGTGATGACAGGCACGTGGTCCTATGTTGCATAGAGTGAAGAAGAAAAAGGAAAAGGCCGAAAGACTGCCATTGGCCAGCGCAAATCCAAACCACTCCAAAATCTCACCCAAAAAATTGGCGCCGGAAACATATTCAAACATCCCACCTGAAAAAAGTTCACATTTAAAATTCAATTTTATAAAATGAAATTGGATAAATCTATAACACGTCCTTCTCTTTGTAAAGTAAACCGAGGCGTACTGGAGTAATGTTCAATATTATGGACGGTAGAAGGTACATGATGCTGCAGAACTGTAGATGTCCGATGAAATGGAAATCTAATAATATATCCGAGAGCAACAGAGCCACCCATAGAACAAAATGAATATTTATAATGTTATTCCGCACAAAAGTTTCGCTCGGTTCCGGATTTTGTTTTTAATAATGGGTCACACTATAACTTTCTGGTTGTCCATCCATATTTTTCAGTTCTCTATGAAGAAGGGGATTAACCGTTCCAAAGCAACAATGGGAGCTTTTTAAAAGGCTTACCGTCTTTAGCAACAAACTTAAACAGTAAACTGGCCTACACCTATCAGGTCATATTAATTATTTTTGAGAACTTCTTGTCTATGTATTTCTTCATTAGTTTCTTTTACTGGCATAGGTCCTACAAACTGAAAGGTTAACCTGGGGCCTATTCAACAAAGTGAGAGCTCGCGAACATTTTTATTGGAAGTATGCGGAATTTTGGTGAGCGCTCGCGAACGCGTTCGTTCTGTTGAACAGGCCTCAGACGCTCTGTCTGTATACCGTCGTCCTTGGAAGGTATAATATTACTTCTCGTCATTCTCTTGGTTTATTTCATGAATGTCAAGAAACAATTATTTGTCAGAAATCTAACAAAGTGCTTTTCTTTGGTTGGAATTTCTTCATCAAGAATAGAGTACAGTATATGTTTAATTGTTTAGCATGTACGTATATGATTAAAAAAAATAGTTATACAGACAAATAAACGGACAACCGTCGGATGCTTTACCATTACATGTTCTTTTCATTGACCAATTGAGCAAAAAACAAAACAGCAACGTACCTCTGGGAATCTTATAACCAGTCTCTCCTGGTTTTCTAAGATTTCTGAGAATGTGGTCAGCCTGAAGGTTCGTAAACATCCCCATAAAAAATAAACAGATTCCTGGAAATGAATTAAATGCATAATTTATACATTACTGTTTTAGAAATAAAAGAATGGTGATGAAAGACAAAGTGAACTTTAAAATGCATTTCTTTTCCCATTTCTTAATATAAACAGGGAAGAAGAATTGGATATTTACTACCTAAATAAAATCTCCAATTCCACATCCACTCACTGCCAAAGTCTGCATATTTGATGATGTATCCGGCCTGGAGATAGCCATTACACGCACAGAATGCAAAGGCGAGAAGGAAGGGAATAAGCGGCGTAGGCTTACCGCCCCTGATCAGGAGAGGGTAAATTATCGATCTGAAATGGAATTTTGTAGCAAGTTAATCATCGGTCTTCAACAACAAACATATAGGCAAATACAGACTTTTAATGATCGAAAGTTGACAAAACCCCCGAGATAAAGGCGACAGTGGTTCACTATGATATAAAGCCGTTATACATTCATAATCTAATTAATTATTATAAGTAAACAAATATTTTTTTTTTCTGAAAGAGTCTACTTATCTAGAACAAATACAATGTAAGTATAAATCTCATACATAGCAGTTTGAAAAGTAATGTTTAAAGATTGTCCGAGCGGTGCCCCATACATATTACAAAACAAAAACAATCACTGTCGTTCTGCAATCTTTCATATACATGTATATGAATGTTTGTTCTACATACCTTTGAAAATAATGTAATAAGAATAATCCTAGAAGAATTTTATTCGGAATATGAGTTATTTTTGGACCTTCTACACAGTAAATTAGTAATACCGGCACTAAAAAGGCAGGTATCTCCTGAACAAACCATGCCAATTTAGCGTTCACGTCCACACCCCAACCCCCACGCGCATATCTACCGTACGGTGTATTTAGAAACTGTAGAACTATGACAACTACAATGCCAAAGAAAAGCAGATTATAGGACAAAAAATTGAAAACCTCCAAGTCTAGCCCTAAGACTTTATCGATCCAATTTTGCACACCCATTACTTTCCTGTAAACTATGGGTCACCGATAAGGTCTTCACAGGTTCAGATCCATACATGTACATGTAGCACGCAGACAAGTGGAGGGGCAGTGAAAGATGTGAAAGAGAAAATTAAAAAGAACTAGGTAAATCGCAAATGCATAGGGGCTGGTCTATTCGAACCTCACTCTGAAGACAAGTTGGACAAACAAACGTATAAAATAGTGAATGTATATACATGTATATGACTCTTTTCCATCTTAGATTATATTTTTTTAGGGCATAAAGACTCGGCTAAATCTGGGGTAAAACAGAGACATAAATAATATTTTAAGACCGCAGAACATTAACTGGCAAGATTGGAAATATGCAGCTTACGTCATTTCTAACTGTTACAGTCAAAACATTTGATGATAGACAATGAAATGGGCGGGTACAATTCGACGCAGACGGCCGAGAAAACATTGGATTGAAATTACAGTTTGAAATTTATTTTCAAACCACCGGAGCTGTTTTTTTCAAAAGCAATGTGTGAATCATCGTCGCAAACCACGGCCAAAATACACGATCCTCTCCCATTCTGGCTGTGGTTGAATGAGAAGAGAATATCTCGTAGTTCATTAAAATATTGACCAATGCGAGTAAAGCATCTTTGATGTGACCTTTCAATACCCAATCACAGTGCACGAAATATTTCTTGTATACTGTTGATGGAAATTGTTGATGGAAACAAAACTTGTCATTGACTGAATATGACGTCACAATAGAGAGGCGTGAATATTCAAGATTCCGAAACTTTTTGTGGTTAAGCAGCCACGGGTAGGAGAGAGCTATATGCGGACCCCGGACCGTGGCTTGAAACAATGTGTATGAATGTATGATTCAAAAGACAAATAATTTCAATAAAATGATTCCCAAATACATGTTGGTTGATATTAATATTGTTATGGGTTTGTAGCCTATAATATAATTTTAGGACACTGGTAAAAGTCCTAGAAGTCGAAGACATATATTATTTTTTCAGGAGATGGTCATTTGAATCTAGAGGGGGGGGGGGGGCTTTCAAAATATGTCGAGTCAGATCATACCAAACAGAAATCAAATACTGTATTTGTCCCCTCATATATTTCTTTAAAACGCTGGACAGAAAATTCTGATTTATATTTTCAAACTGTACCAAAATTGAAATTATTTGTCTTCTGGGTCAATCAGTAATAATGTGCCTTCTAGCGTAGCTGAGGTGGATTGAAAATGAATTTCAAACTGTAATTTCAATCCAATGTTTTCTCGGCCGTCCGCGTCGAATTGTACCCGCCCATATCATTGTCTATCATTAATTGTTTTGATTGTAACAGATAGAAATGACGTAAGCTGTGTATTTTCAATCTTGCCAGTTAATGTTCCGCGGTCTTAAAAATCTTTAAAACTTTATTCTTAGGATAGTTTCAGGGCCATCACATATTTCGGTGAACAAACATGTCATGCTAATGGAGGAGTTGCGAGTCTCTAGCTGTTATTTATGTCTCTGCATGGGTAGAAGTTTAATTATAGAAAACTGAAAACTCAGGACCCATCCCCTCGAATTAATCGGCTGCCGTTCATTCACTTGCCAGAGGGAATACATGTATTGTGTGGTGATTTGCATCATGCAATCATGCAATTACAATTTTATTGACTCCATAACTGTAGAAAATGGACGGGATTTCTTGGCATGATTTATCATTGTCTGAATACGTATTATATAGTTTCCAAGATTCCTTTTTTTGTATAATGTCGGGCAGATAAGTTTTGCTTATATCAGAGATGCGCTTAGTATAATATTTCCATGTATTTTGATTTTTGATCAAAGTTATCGATAGAATCGATGTGAACTAAGTCATTTTAATGACTTAGTACTAGTACATATCACATGAATCAGAATAAAACAGTGGCGGGTTGGGGGGGGGGTTCGGAAAAACCCTCCCGCTCATTGAATTTTTTTTTTTACAAGTGTCATTTTATCATTTTTTTGCATTGATAAGACTCTAATAAACATGAACCCTTTGTTTGTACAACTGTGAAATATACATCAACTACGTAACAGGAAATCACTTTCCGCTTGAACGCACACAATACACAGGTAATCAACAGAGAGAGTGCCTTATATTAATTTAATTTTTAAAACGGTAAAAAAAAAAAATGAATAATAATTTATTGATTTCATAGTTTTTAAAAACATGCATTTTATCAGCAAAAGAATATTACTGATCAGCACCGTAAATATGCAGTTTTCTGTTGGTACCTAACTACATTGTACTGTGATCTTGTGACTTCACTAGATGCACGGACTACCCGATCTCGGAGGCACTCTCTCTGATGATTACCTGTGTATTGTGTGCGTTCAACCGGAAAGTGATTTCCTGTTACGTAGTTGATGTATATTTCACAGTTGTACAAACAACGGGTTCATGTTTATTAGAGTCTTATCAATGCATCAAAATGATAAAATAACACTTGTAAAAAAAAAAAATCAATGAGTGGGGGGGGGGGGGGGGGGGGGCCCCCCCCCCCCCCCCCCCCCCCCCCCCCCCCAACCCCCCTGGATCCGCCATTGCTACCAAAACCTTTTCTTCATTATTTATACGAAAGAAGGAGAGAATACATTAAAAAAATGTAATTTTAAAATGTATAATCAAAACAGTTTCTAGTCGTTTCAGTTTAAAAAAATAAAAATGTGTTTCTCTTTAGAAAAAAAATTAAATAAGCCGATTGGAAAACAGATCTAAATAAATTCATGATCGTCCCCTCTTGATGGTAATAACATCTGATTACATTTTGTATTACTTGTCAGGCATTAAATAAATGAATTGTTTTTCTTTCTTTTTTGTGCTTCGTTCAATCAAACAGAAGATGCTTCTTTAGTTCTTATGGGCATTTGAAATAAGAATCGGGATGGCAGTGTCTATATGCACGACCGTCGTGCACTTACCTTCTCAACGGTTATTCGCACGACCGTCGTGTACATAATTTTTTCAGTGGCTGTTTGCACGACCGTCGTGTATATTAATTTTTCAGTGACTATTTGCACGACCATCGTGTTTTTTATTATAATATTTATCAGCTGGTCGCACGACCATTATATATATTTATTCATACCTTCACTTATTATGGCATTCGTTTTTCGTCCCCAGTTAAGTTCGGAACGCAGTAATTAAAGTACAAAAAGACATTTTGGCAAGAAAACATCGCAAAAACTTTTTTTCGTGATATTAATTTATATAATTAATTGACATTTGGGTCCATTGGGCAGGTCGTTGTATTGTAAATTTGTTTCTATTAGAACTACCCTTGTATTTGTATTTAATTAATAAAATAGTTGCTTACCAGGCGCGGATCCAGGAATTGAAGTTGAGGGGGCTCCAAAAGTAGGCAAGGGGTCTGGGGGCCGCCTTGAGGCCCCCAGTGGGTCCAGAGCAAAGCCCTGGTGGGGGCCCAGGTGGCGAAGCCCCCGGAAGCTCCTGGATTCTAGAGATTTTGTAGGGTAAAAATGAGGTCTACCAAGTATACATATTTACATTTTCTAGACGAAACTGTGATTTACGTAAATTTTGACAATTTTAGGGGCGCGCGCCGGGTGCGCCCCCCTTAAATTGCCACTGCTTACTATTTTGGTAGGTCTGGGTTTACCCTATCCACCAGAGCCAGGACGCATTTATAAGCATTTCGCCTACTTTAGTATTGATTTCTTAATACACTTTTTAACCAAAAAAAAAAAATTGTCATAAAACCGACGGTCGTGTAAATAGATTTTTGTCTTACGTATGTGCACGACGGTCGTGTAAATATCTCAACAATTTGCATTAGCTATTCGCACGACGGTCGTGTAAATAGACTTTATTCACTATGCGCACGACGGTCGTGTATATATCATCGGCCAATCGGGATCGGCATTTTAATTGGGGCGCCACCTATCTAATTATAGATTTACGTCGGAGTTGCTGAAGCAGGTATTCGTCATGGAAAAGGAAGAGAATTCTACTACTTTTAGAGGAAATCCAACAGGAACAGGTGTCAAAGGATCCGCATTTACACCAGAAAAGTCAAATAAAAGTAAAATGGCGTCAAAGACGAACAAGAAGTGGGTACGCCTTGCGACAGTGTTGGCATACGTTCTTGCAGTTTCACTGGCCGCCATTGTGTTGGCTATTTACTACAGCTTCTTATGGGCACCAGAGCTTAAGACATCTACTACCGTTGCACCAATGCCTGGAACTGAAAACATGACTTCCTCCGCGGGAGGCGGTAGATCAACAGTAGGCAGTACAACGACAGCATGAACATCTTGATCGTCTATCGGCGAAGATGACAGGTATGGTGAGCCATTAGGATAATTAAGTTTTATTTTAACTCAAGACTAAGAGGGACTTGATGCATTATGCTATATGCAGGTCATCGGGTTTTCATGATAAAAAAAACACAATTATAAATTTTACAAAATACATAATGTAATATGTTGTACAGTGTGACCGTTGGGGCGAACGCAGTCCTATGTCACAGCTTATAGTTGAACTGTTGTACATCAAACTGCACGAGACACAGTGTAGACTGTGACGTCACTGTGACTCGCATGACATTGGAATTTACGGAGACAGCCGAGGATGTTGTAGCTGCAGAACTGTAGCTCTCTGCTTGAGAAAATTCGGACAGATAAAGCAGAGAGCTACAGATCCAAGCGTTGTAAAAACCTTTGATTTATGCCGATGGTATTTTTTCATGTATTTCTTACTTTCCCCAGATTTGAAAATAATTTTAAATGATATTTATAATAATTAATCATACAGACTTGTCGAAATTTTTTAATCGCTGTCAGACATTTGGTCTGACACAGTCAAATGTTTTGTCGGACCAGTCAAACTTTTGTCAGACCAGATACTTGTATGTTATTTTGATGCTGGTAAAATCATATGAATAACAGCACCAAAATGTCCTTCATTATTTTCAATTGCCTTCAATCTAACAAGTTTCCTTTCTTGGGATAGAGAGTCTTTAACATAGACATAAATGACAAGTTTTATGAC